GGGCCTGGGGTTTGGGGTTTGGGGTTTAGGGTTTAGGGTTTGGGGCTTCAGGGACTCCGAAGCCCAAAAGGTCTGGCTAGGCTTCTGGGGGGTGCGGTGGTGCAGCTTAAGCTCTAAGCCTTCAAACCTTGCTTCAGGCGTACTTTTTATGGAGTTCCGGCTTTAGGGTTTAGGGTTTAGGGCTTAGGGTTTAGGGCTTAGGGTTTAGGGCTTAGGGTTTCGGGCTTAGGGTGAGGCTGCAGGGTGCTAGAGATGACGATTTAGGTATCTGGCCATACCACCTTCACAAGCCTGAACCTCGAAAACGCTGAACCTCAAAACCCAGACAAAGAAAACCCCAAAGCCTAAACCCCTAAACCCTAGACCCTAAAACCCTAAAACCCCACACCCTGAACCCCTAAACCCTAGACCCTAAACCTTCAAGCTTTGAAGCCGTCTAATCCCCAAGAAACCCACATCCGAAGCAAAGGAACGGTGAGGTCATCGAGACGGTTGTCGTCCGCGCTGAATGGAGAATCGGCTCCCTCAAGCGCCCTGCTCTTGGATCGAGCTCGGGCTAGGGTTTCGGGTTTAGGGCTTTGCAGCTTAGGGTTTAGTGTTTAAGGCTTTGGAGTTTAGGGCTTAGGGCTTTGGAGCTTAGGGCTCAGGCGCTTTTGGCGCTTTTGGGGCTTGTTGGGGGCTTTTCGGGGCTTCGGATCCCATGGCTTTGGTGTAACAACTTCGGGCTTTAGGGCTTTAGACAATCGGATCCGAGGTTCGAGTTTTAGTATGGGAGCTAGCTTCGCTTCATGAATCGTGTCTGCTTGCTCCCCAACTTCTCTGACGAGCTCTAAACCCTCAACCCTCAACCCTAAACCCTAAACAACAAAACCCTAAACCCTAAACCTTAACCCCTAAACCCTGAACAACAAAACCCTAATCTAAACCCAAACTCGACAGCCCGAACCCTCAACCCACAATCGGGGCTTTCGGCACCTCTGCTGCTCGTTCCACCGGCCTGGACCAAAGACATCAGATGCAGCATAGTGCCGGATAAGAGTATACAAAAATACAGATATGTAAAACACTATGTTGCGCGAAGACTGTATTGTCTTATGTTGACGTTACTAGCAACTGTATGTGGAGGAGGCTGTCCTACAGATCAGGCTTCTGACGGCTCGGGCCCTTGGACCTACCACTTTGAGGCGTTCTTGCCGCAGTGGATACACAAATCCTCAGCCGTGTTAACAGCCCTAAACCCAAGACCATGTCAACACGGGCCCCGGTGCAGCCCGAAGCACCTATCTCGCCGTCATCATCAACGCGCCGAACCTGACACAAAGCTCCGAAGAGAGGCATCGGAGGCTTGCCGCGAGATACTCGGTTTAGGGTTTAGGGTTTAGGGTTTAGGGTTTAGGGTTTTTGCCTGAATGCCAGCGAATTCCTGCTCGATGCCATGGACCAGAGACAAGCAAGGAGCAGCTCATGTCAGCTGTTTCCTACAAAAACAAATACAGCATCAAAGAGAACGGTATCTCAAGAAAGACGTCCTTCCGAACTTCCGCAAGGACAGCGCCTGGGTGCATGGAAACGGCGGCATCCCGGGCTTGGACTTGTCGAGGTCAAGAGCCTCAGCTCTCACAGCCCTGACCGTGGCCGATAGCCGCGAGGGAGCGCTCCGGACACGTGCCACTCTCAATCCCTCAAGGAACGGGGAGTGGCAAAAAACATGATTGCTGGATAAGTAGCAGTCTCAGCCGTCGCACCTTAGAACATGCTCTGGTGCATGCCAATTCGTATGGCCACCGCAGGACGTGGCGGTGCAGGGTTGTGAGGCAATCCTATGCCAACGGCCAGAATACTACAACCCCTTTGACAATTCTTCCATAAGTGTTTGGGTGCCCCCTAAACCCTACACCCCTACCCCCCCCCAAAAACCCTCCTAAACCCTAAACCCTAAACCCTACCCACCAAACCCTAAACCCTTACCCGGAATCGACGTCCCCTTTTGAGAGGTCTGGTGCTCAAATCAAGACGAGGGGCCGAAATGGAGGCCCAACCTGGCGACCGGCTCGTGGAGTTTAGAGAGAAGGGCTGAATTTCTAGTGTTTTTTTATAAAGCCTTTTTCCACCTCGCAACACGTCACTAGGTTAATATCTAGGGTTTAGGGTTTGGGGTTTAGCATAACTAAGTGACGGAAGAGGATGAGGATTATGAAGATTATGACCAGGCTCACGACATAACGGTGGTGGAGCAACAGCGATGACGACGACGACGACAACCACCTCAACCACAACCACCACCGCCGCCGCCACTTTAAGCACCGCGGTCACCACCACCGCGAGCGACGCCTCCTGCCGCTACTGCCGCCGCCACCAGCACCACCACCACCACCGTCATCACCACCACCAGTTCATCACCACCGCCAACAGCACCAGCACTAGCACCAGCACCAGCACCAGCACCACCACGCAGTTTTGAGGTATTGCTGTTGGTGCTGCTTTTTGTTGCTGCCGTAGTTGTTGTCGTGGTGGTGCTGCTGCTGCTGCT